TTTATTATGTATAAAACATATTCAAATTTTTTTTTGTTAAATTTGAAGTATCATATGACTTTAACAAAATCTTTGACATATGCCATTTACCGTAACTTGACCTTAAGACATGTCTATTTCCAATATAATCAAAGAGAACGGTTTAGGATTCGTTAAAAGATAACTCGTTAAAGTGCCAGAAATCAATTGCAGGGTAATACAATATATGAAATGTATATTGTCGGAAATTATCAAATTGATTTATACTCATTACGAAACCTCGCCTTTCGTCCTGTTTCTAAAGCTCGTACAGATACATTTTATATTTTCCGACAATATATACACTTTTGTAAATCGTTTTATCGAATATCTGTGTGTGATTTTTAAGAAAGTAGACAAATTTTGTTCATATTTTGTAATTGTGTGTACTGAAAGACATCATTGAGGCATGAAAAGGGAAATTAAATCACAAAAAATAACAGATTTTATTCATTTCAATGACATGTTGACCGTCTTTTCCTCTGTGACAAGTTTGCCATATTTCTGAGCTGTGTAGCAGAGCAGAGAAAAAACACATACTGTTAGTATATAATCAAAAGCTGACGGAAATGCTATGGGACACAAGCGTAAATTTATGATTTGAAACGAGTTATTGGAATATTCTTTTTATGCCTCTTTGGGAACTGTTCCCTAAAAATATGGAAATTATTGAATTAATTGAATTGATTATAATGTCAAAGATCATATAGTTGTATGATCTTGACTTAACTTTAAAACGTTACAATGGCATTTTGCTTTAATAGGTTACTTTCAATATTGGTATGGTAACACTCTGAAGTTCCCCAGTACACCGAAGTCGAAGCGTGTACAAGAATACTGAAGGGTGTTAAAATACCATATATATCTACGGATATGAACGAAAATAACAAATTTATCCACAGTCCGAATCGGGAATATATATAACATATTTCTCATACAGGATATTGATAAGGGTATATTTACCATTTAACTGCAGCAGATGCGCATTATTGTCTATTCAGTGATGTTGAAAGCCAAAAGTATTTCAAATTCAAAACCGAATACAAATGTTGAAGAGCTGATTAACCCCCAAATATAAAAACGAGGTGCACCTGTCCTGCATGCTAAGTAATATTGTCGGACATTACGTTGTTAGATACGTTGTTAGATGTCACCTAGAACCCGAGTGTACCAATTTCAACTTTCAAGGGTCAAGCAAGATGTTCGAATCGTTACAAACTCGACTATCTTAAGCAACAGTGTACCGTACATATATATATATATATATATATATGTGTGTAATTCTTGTTTTATGTTTGTATTTTGCTTCGATTCAACTCAGAAACTCGGTGCCATTCGGAAGACAAAGCATTTTCTTATACATAATTCTATCACTATATTAAGGTTTACTGTAAATTTTGAAGCTTGACATATTTTTTACCGGGTGTAGGGTTCTACTTTTGGTATTACCCTACAGGTAGTCAAATATAAGAGGTGTGTTATCCTGAGACAGAGAAATTAGAATAAATCCAAGTTGGTGCTCAATGTCGCAAGCGTTATGACACGAGTTTGAGTGTACCTTTTGGTATTCTTCGTCTCTCTTTTTCCCCTCTCTTACAAAGTCCAAATGAAATATTTTGAATAAAAACGATAAATGAAAACATTGTGGAGGAAGATGGAAACATTCCGTGAACCTGTATTCTTGACTGACGTCATAAATATGGCATTGTTGATGAGGTCATAAACAAGGCGATATGCTCTAGTTTATTTCAAATTTATATACCGCCAACGTGACTTGACTGTGCAATATTTTAACGCTAAAATAGCAAAAGGGACCACGGACACAATTAATTATAAAACGTTGGAGATGTCACATCCAAACATATGTGTTCTACAAAACAAAATATAGGGAAAATAGAGTCGAAATATACCAAAGTCATATTCAAACTCCTAAGTCGAAAACAAACTGACAATGTCAAGGGAAAAACGAAAAACGATAATAATACAAACAACAATATACAAAACACAACATAGAAAACTAAAGGCTGAGCAACACGAACCCCCAATAAAAAAACCACAGTGGTGATCTCAGTTGCCCCGGAAGGGTACGCAGATCCTGCTCCTAATTTGGCAATTGTCTTGTTATATACCTGGTGAAAAGTACAACATGATATGAATTATAAGATAATAGTAGATTGAGGTGGAGTGAATTGGTTGTTTTTCGGTAATATTTTATAACCCTTCTTACTGTTCATGTTGATATGCAATAATATATTAGTCCATTTAGATCGATATTACTCGTCTACACTTGACCGATTCCGTTTCAAATTTTTGCAAATTGAGCCCTATACATTTTTCAATTTCTTGAACTAGAACTTTCTCTGTTTATCACACGACAGCAGACAGTGATCTGACAGGACAAAAAAAAACTTTCTGTCTGTTTATCATACGGCAGCAAACAGTGATCTAACAGGACAAAAAACTAGAAATTTCTCTCAGTTTATTACACGGCAGCAAACAGTGATCTGACAGGACAAAAAGCTAAACTTTCTCTCTGTTTATCACACGAAAGCAAACAGTGATCTGACAGGACAAAAAAATAGAACGGTAATTATGTTAATCACGCGGCAGCAACAGTGATTAGAAAAGACAAAAAACTAGAATTTTCTCTCTGTTTATTACACGGCAGCAAACAGTGATCTGACAGGACAAAAAACGAGAATTCTCTCTCTGTTTATCGCACGGCAGCAAACAGTGATCTGACAGGACAAAAAAATACAACTTTCTCTCTGCTTATCACACCACAGCAAACAGTGATCTGATCGACAGGACAAGAAACCTGAACTTTCTCTCTGATGATCACACGGCAGCAAGCAGTGATCTGACATGATAAAAAAACTAGAACTTTTTTTCTGTTTATCACACAGCGGCAAACAGTGATCTGACAAGAAAAAACTAGAACGTTTTCTCTGTTTATCAGATGTACAATCAAAAGCGGCGCGCAAACGTTATGAATTTTTGGGTGCAAATGTAGTGATAATGTGCGCAAATGTAATGTATCGACCCAAGGGATGTTCACACCATGAACTGCTTATAATAAATGACACATTAACAATGCGACTGGTCGATAATATAAGACAAATATGCGTGTCGTGTGTAGATTGTCGTACCTCCTCTAAAGAATAACTGTGGAAAAAAAGAATTGGGTAATATATAATATTGATAACAGAAAATGAGAAATAAACAATATACATGATATACAGAATAAAGAAATCATGTAATTGCAGCAAAAAAATAATAGTAAAATTATCTGAAAGTTCATGATAATTTTACAGAATAGGTACTATTTTTAAAGAAAAAGAAAAAATGCCCTAAAAATTTTACGAGTACAGAAATTAAGGACCTGGGCTGATATTCATAAAACTACTTAAGTTTAGATATGTTCCGAACGGACGAATTTTTTTACATGTCCTACGATAAATTACAATCAAAAGCTGCGCGCAAACGTTATGAATTAGTACTTCGATTAGATATCTTAATAACCTCAAGTGGTTTTATGCATATCAGCCTTGCCAACCAGATCCTCGTCCATCGTTTTCCCACAGGCGTCATTTATATAAATTTTATTTCAAGATAATAATGACTAATAAAATATATTTTGAAACATAATAACAGCACGACCTTAAAGAACATATAATGTTAATGTGCATATTCCCAGACTGGAACATTTTTTAAATGGTTATCGGTGTTTAGTCATATGTGGGTTTTTTAATTGTTTACTTTTTATACATTGTGACTTGGATGGAGAGTTGTCTCATTGGCACTCATACCACATCTTCTGATCTAAATTTGTTCCGGACTAAAAAAAAAACACACAGAAAACTAAAGAATGAGCAACACAAATCCCGCCAAAAACCGTTGGAATCGCGGGTGTCTCGGAAGCCCGTTGCCGGTTGTAACATACTCTCCTCCACGAGTGCCACACTTCGTGCTGATCATGACAAGAAAACATTCGAAAGTCGCATTTGGTAATCAGCGGTCATAATCGAGGAAACGATCGAGGAGTGGATCTTGGCTTCGACAATTGGTCAATAAACCTTATTTTTTCTCAATTTGATAACTAAATCTAGGATTATATTTTCCATGTTAAGCCTAATCTATTTGTCGAGAGCATATCTTCTTCATATGTTTGTACTTTAATTTTCAGATGGTCCGTGTGGGTCTAGAGAATAATGGGCAAATGTGCAGAATAAATGGCAAAAAAACACCCAAAGAATACAGAAAAATAGCACAAACAAATTAAGAATAGAGAATGATGGGGTATTGAAATATAAAGAATTCAGAATAATGGGCAATAAATATAAAGATTAGAGACAAATGAAATAAAAATTAAAGAACACAGATATTTTCCAAATTTGTAGGATACAATATTGTTTTATCTCTACATGCTTTTTATTTCTTTTTTGTAATATTTTGTCTTCATGCAATGACATGATGATATGTATTCAAATAGGCGACATATGACCTCCAGTTTATTTCTTATGACTGGTGTATTGGTCAATATAAGTCTTAGATCAGTGTTATTTCACATCTGGTCGGTTTGTCTCCGATTTGTTCTGGGCATGTACATGCCGCTGCAGCTAGAGTACGTTATATTTTATGTTGAGGCTATTTCAAAGTTTTCTTTCAAGACGGTTTTTATGTTAAAATTACGTATTTGACCTACTATACCTAGCTGTAGTTTGTAGCTAGTAGATTATATAGTAACATGTACAACTTTTATATAAATCAAATAATTGCCCACTATTGTTTTTTTTTTTTACTTGCTAAATTAAATCATTACATTCTTTAGTTGAGGTATATCATTTTAGTGTCTATAAACTATGTCTAGTGCTGTATCTGTGTCTCTGTAATATTTTGTATCTGTCAAATTCATGCCTTTTTTATCTTGAATAAATATATATATATATATATATATATATATAGGTACGTAGCAGGCCTGATTATTATCAAATGAGGAAAGGTACTTAGGCAGACCTTAATTTCAGGGGAAGTTACTCAGAGATGGCATTGACAATTTTCAAGTACGTTCTAAGTGTTATTATGAAAATTTCGGTGCTGTAAAACACTTAACAGTGAGACAACTATAATGGTTATAGATTGTAACAATATATGCGTGTGAACCATCTGTTCTACCGAAACAATATCAAATGAAACCTTATGTAATAATACGTTACATCAGCATGATCAGTCACAGGCACTTGTTTCTATCGATGGATAGTCGACCTTCCCATGGAAAGAAACAAGTGTCTGATCATTCATGGTAAGTCCAAATAATTATGCCGTCTTGAAAAACTATTTTTATTTTTTGCTGTGACGCCAGTTTCAAGACTTCATAATTATATGGACTAGTCAGGGGTTTGACTTGAAAACCAGTGATTTCATTATCAACCATTTGTCAACATGTATCAACTCTTTTAGTGATTTCTTCTTCTTCTTCCAGTTAAAAAAGAACAAAAGATGTTGTCGACTGTTTAACAGGTTGAGGAGGATCCTCATAAATAACTTGATTAGTTACGAAATATCTCATTTATGGGTATTATCATGATTATACACCAAAATGGGTATCAATTTTCAGTGATAAAAATATAAACTTTGGATTTACAAATATTTTCTGTCATGTCGCAAACATTGAATTCTAGTTACTTCATCACCTGGTTAAATTGGCACCTGGTCAAAGGTCAAATCATCACCTGGTAATGATAAAGTCAATTGGGCACCTAGTCAAATCGGGATCTGGTTAATTCGGCACCCATGATTTACATAATGTTTTGCAAGTAAATTTAAACTATTGAAGACTCCAGTTTTTTTTATATTTTTAAAAATAATTTCACTTGACATACATGCTTGAGGTGTCAACGTATTCAAATGTATTTGTCACGCATATCATGCATATCAGATGTTCAAATGGAAACTTTGTTATTAACAGTGCCTTAATATCTGTTCCTATTGGAAGTTATTGTATAACATTTATAACTTCTATTTCATGACAACTGCACATTGTTTTTATACAAGTAGACAGGAAATTCAGAAAAAAAAACCAATTTAAATTACAATGAGTAAGTTTGTTTTTATCCTCATCTGTGGATTAATCAACAGCTTGGGTTACAGCTTCTCTGTTTAATTTAAGTTTTTTATATTATTGAAAACAGCAAAAACTACCTGAAATATTTAAAACAACAAATGGGTTATTCTTTTTGATTAATATAAGTTCATAAGTTTTTAAAATGATAACAATCAAAATACTATTAATAAAATATTGAGAAAACGTCAAACAGCAAATCAACTGATTTTTTATGGTGTATTTTAACTGCTTAAAATTACATGAATTACATGTGCTGATTTTTTAAAGATATGCAAAATGTATCTTTTTAATTAACCTAAAAAATTGTTAGTTTTGCAAAAAAATATATATGAATAAAACCGAAAAACTATTCTCTCCATACCTCACTTAAAAGGGTAAAAATATTTGGTACCAAATTGACTAGCCAAATGCTGAAATGGCTTTAATCATGTTAATTAGGTGCCGGTTTGTCTAGATGCCTATTTGACCAGGTGCCGATTTGACTTTTTCTATGGGTGCCAATTTGACCAGGTGTCGATTTAACTTGTACCCCAAACATTAAGGTAAAGGATAACATTTAGCCTGAAGACACCATAACTGAAATATCATCAGGATAAAAGTTTACAGCCTTCAAAAAGTAGGATTTTTGGAGGCCATTATCTTTGTAACCAATTCTCATTTGGACCGTGGTCTTAAAGGAAAAATGTTGCCATTTATATGAATATTTGGGCCCTGACAGCTATCATGAAGAAATACAAAAATTTATTTTTTATCACTGTAAATTGATACCTGATTTGGGGTACAATAGCCATAAATAGGGATAGTACCCATTTATAAGGATCTTTCCCAACCTGTTTAAAGTTCTGTTTGAAAATTTTAGTAAATCACCTATTTAAGAGATTTTGTTGTTTCCTTTGATGATGATGATGGATGGTTGCTTATCGTCGAGCTGCATATTAATATATGTATAATTAGGGCAGGGACATGTTAATGTAAAATTAATATTAACTGTGCTTTGTACTAGACTGACAGGGCTCACGCTACCAGGCGACTAGGGCGAAGAAGTCGCTTTCCCATCCGTCACTTCCCTTTTCCCGACCCCCAAAAGAGAAAACAAGTCGCCCTGTTGTTTACGATACTCGCTTTCAGTCGCTTTCGTCTTTGGCAATATTCAATTTTTACCAAGTTGACGAAACAGCAATTTTCATTTAAAGTAAAGAAATTCAAGGCATAAACGATTTATTTTCTTCAAAAAAGAGGTTAAAGCATTGATTTATAAGCTGGTGGCATGTTATTTCATAAACACAATTTGTTATCACTTCCGGTACTTGTTACACAAGAACGTACATCAAATCATTCTAACTTTTGGCAAAATAAGTTATTACTTCATTAAAACTTGATGAAATTTGCCTGAAGTAAACTTGTTATCCATGTATTGCATTAAAAACGTCATATTCCTTTCCAAATAGCGTGTCAAACATTGTTTATTTTTGTAAATTTTTCTTCGTCCGACATTTAAATTATTGGGCATATTATTGTACAACTACGGATCGGAGTTGGAATTTCATCGGAAACGGACCCACTATGACTGACAAATGACTGAAATCCAGATTCTTGCGATAATGACTACGGACACATGAATGGCACTGCTGACAGACAAAAATTGGTCCCAAAAGAAAAAATTACGCATTCCACAGGCATTAACATACTTTTGGTTAGATCTTCTTGATTAATGTATATATTTCCATGTATATATGCATTGTTTCAATTTATAAGTTAAAGTTGCTCAACTCTGGGACTATTACACTAATAAAATCATATTATGTCCAAGCTTAATTGTTAAATTTATATATCTTTTTAATGAGAAATCATTAATTTCATGAACATGATAACAGAGTAGTTTTTTTAATTGAATTTTAATTTTTTTCATTGCCAGATATTTAATTGTTTTTCTGACAAGAGAACTCATTTGATTGTGCAACTAGATATGATAAAATTAAACAACTTTAAATTTGAAAAGTTACTTTAATCATGTTAATTGTATACCCAGGTACAAATTGAACAATATAAAAAAGATAAGATACATATGGCCCTTAATGTATTATTGTAAAATCCAAACATTGTAGCCCCGCAAGCGAACAAGCACTTCTCTTTAAAATCTATCCACTTCTCCCTCTCAATTTCAAAAAGAGAAGTCACTTCTCCCTATGATTCTGAAGTAGTGTGAGCCCTGGACTGACATGCTGAACTGGATTTTAAATGTGCTAGTTCACAAGATAACAATCCAAGCAGTCTGCAGGAAGACATATCACCTTACCATGCTTACCTGGACATATTATTCTGACTCTGGGCCTACCAGTGTTTGCTTTTACTCCTTCATGCCACGTGCTTAGTGGAGAAGCAGCAAATACCAATTTTAAAGTATTTGGTTTGACCTTGATGGGGTTTGAAACCCACAACCTCCCTCACTCGAGGCGAACACACTACCATGACACAATGCATGAGGCCACCTTGTTTAACTTCGATCTTCAAATATGCTAATTTCATTATTTTTCCATTAAATGACAATTTTTTTTGTACACGCACATTGTAACTAGCCTACAGAGATCAATTCTCCATTTCTCTTGTATGTTAATTTTAGCAGTGCACTTGAACAGTAAGTTAGTGTGCTAAAGCTTTAAATAGTACCCTTGGGAATATTTCTGTAATCAAATATTCATTAACTACTCATACAAACAGACAAAGGTCAAGATTTTAAAGTAACATGATTGGTTTTCTTTATACTTGGAACCGGTTGGGAAAGATCCTCATAAATGGGTTTTATTCCCATTTATGGGTATTGTACCCCAAAAAGGGTTTTAATTTTCAGTGATTGGTAAGATCCTTGCTGTTATGGCACAGACATTAAGGTAGATGACAACATTTTTCCCATAGCCACCATAACAGAAATATCATCCAGCAGTCAGGGGACTTACTTAAATAAGTGATTTTTAAATCACTGATTCAAGTAACATTTTGTCCACAAATGTTGGAAGTAAGAGTTGTCTTTCTTTAATAATCACCTATTTTTAAAAGTAGTACAAATAAATCACTAGACTAAGTGATTTAATTTATTGTAGCTTTAAATATACAATACTAATGATCCAGGGACTAATTATATTGCTAAAATTATCAGAACCAACATCTGTGTTGACATGGTTGATAGGATGACCAGTCATGTTCGGTGATGACCTTGTACTGTATCTTGGATAATGACATGAAAATCACTTGTTTAAGTATCATACCTCTATTTTCTTCCAAAAAAACACTTCTTTAAGTATCATTATTTTAACTACCCCCACTAATTTCAACACCCCAGAACAGTGAAATTTTGATCGCAAACAGTAAAATTTATTACATAATCTGTAAGATGAAACCTTGAATTTTACAGGAAAATTACTCCCACTGCTGGGAAAAATCTGTTAAGAAAGTATCAGTTCATTATGTTAAGCCTTCATTATAGCAATATAGAATTTACAGCTAAATGATTGCATCAAAGGCATAAACCTTGCTATTTAAAAGAAGAAAAAGGATCATTTTTTTCCAATTTTACTAATAATAATAATAAGATATAATCTAAACCTATATGTTTAAGATTTTGGTAAAACTACATAATCACAATTTGTGAAAAAATTTGGAATTTGCTACTTAAATAAGTAATTTGTAAATCATTTATTTCAGTAATTTCCCTGACTGTCCAGGGAAAAGTTGATAGCCTTCAAAAAGTAGGTTTTTCATAGACCATTATCTTTGTAATTAGTTCTCATTTGAAATATGGTTTCAAAAGGAAAAATGTTGACATTTATACAAATATTTGTGCCATGATAGCCATTATGATGAAATACAGTATAACTGGTTTTTTCGCGGGTGTAAAATTTCACGATTTAGGGGCAACTTAGAATACGGTTTTTATTTTGGCGT